ATAGGCTACCCCACTGTCTAATTATGTTTGCGGAGAATTTTTCGCTACACATTTCCACAGGTAACAAATATTTAGTATACCAGAAATTATTGTGGCTCAAGTAAGTTCATGCATTATAAGTGATACTAGTGGTAACTGCGACCAACCACTACAGATAAAAGGCTATAAATAGCAATAAAATAATGATGTTTTAAAAGTTAAATGAAGAATTAACGAATGAATAAAAGCGTTACGTCAATTCTTGCTTTGGATTTCATTGGTCAATGGGTTGGTACCATATTTGACAATGTTTATGAATGCGCGAGAACGAAGCAGAGAATAAATTTGTGAAATCTTATACAAATCCAAAGAGTCATAATGAAAATACGAAATTTTAGAAGAGCCGAAGCATTGGACACTGTTTACATTCAGAAGCTGATCAAATCAGACCAAATATACTCCAGAACAAAGTTCAATTTGATTAGTCTGCTGTGAGTTCTAAAAGAAATTATGAATGATGTGTAGAGAGCGTAGCCTTTTTTCCCTTACCGCAGTGGAAGCTTCTGGTGACGTTGTCGGATGCTTAATCCTGAATGACGCCCCACCGATTTCACTTGTTAAAGGAATATATGGAGGTGATTGGCTGAAGACAACATTTAAGTTTGAGTATCTTAATACGCTCAACACCATGTTTATCCAACTGATCGTTATCAGAGATGATTACAAAAAACGTGGATTTGTTGACATTATTCGCGCTGCTTTTCGGGAACTTGCCGATGTAAATCACTTTTTGCTGTTGGTCCCTGAAGCTACAAATTATGGTATGCCTTCCTGTGAGCAAAAATAAGTTCTAGATGAATTTGACGAGTCACTTCCCGAAAATATTCTTCGGATGAGGTTTTCAAGTTTTATCTCCACGGAAATCAAGCCAGTATTTTCAAAACTACTAACCACCGAGGAAGAACAATGTGTGCTAAAGTGGGATGTTGTTCACTTTATACGTCGTGACTTTGACTCAGCCCTGCACTGTCGACTTGCCAGGTTAGTGACAGTTTGTAATCACTGCTTAAAAGTGTAAAAGATAACGACGACTTGACACCAATATTCAACTCAAAGAGTGATACTCTCCGCAAAATTTATGGAGAATTTTACATATCTGAGTTAGTTGAGGCTCAAAATAAGAATATGAAAGCAATTGTCTTGGAGTCGAACAAGACAGGACATGCTGTTGGATTTATGAATGCCACCACACTGTACAATGCTGATTTCCTGAATAGAGAGTATGATCTGCGTTTCTGTAATTATCTTCAAAAAAACGGATTGCGGGATACATCGAAATTTCCAAAACCTGCATCTCTCATAAAATTACAAATTGATTTGCCTGTTACTGATGTTGACTTAACAGAATCCGATAATCAAACCGAAGTTTTAACGGAAATCTCAAAAAAATCACACGCAGATGCTTCGTCAATGGCTTTTCGTGAGGAAATTGATCCCAATTCAGGTAAATCTAATTATCACATCTGATGATTTGAATGAATTAAGAAAATTATTTTCAGCAACATATGTTTTTATGATTTTCAGATGGAAATCCCACAACGTTGTCTACTGATGATCTGCGCTCAACTATTCTTTCGGATTCGTTTTCGGTAGATAAGGACACGAGATTGGCTTACGTTTCATCGGGAAATTGGATTCGGCGTCATTTAAGAGGATACTTTGGCGTTAGTTCTTCTCAGGACACTGAGCGAAACGCTTACCCTTGTGATGATAATAACGCGTTTGTTATCCAATTATATGGTTTGCTTCCCGAATTCGATACGCGGTGCGTTATGTTCTCTCAAGTGCTGATATGTGAAGTGACAAACCTCCTTTTATCAGCTCAGATAAATATGCTTAGGCACTTGATCCATTTTTGCGATCCTACAAATATATGTCAAAGCCGTAACGACATATATAACCAACATTTCGTAGCCATTGGGCGATAACTCAAACAATGACCTCGATTCAAATCAAACTACTAACAGTGCCCGCTTGTTAGGATGAATGAGTTCTATAACAAAATTTTTGGACCCAAGTGCATAATTAGCCAGCTTGTTACAACAATCACTATATCGTTAAAGTACCTAAATCCTTGTTATTTATACTTTAATATTCCCTCATTTGGATCTTAGTGCGAAGGACTTTTTGCCATTCATGTTTGATCAATTTCCTGGCATTGATTATGCAGCCATAACAGTTCCAAGGCTAGATCCTGAAACGACCTTGCTGCAGAACTTTTACGTGAGTTCGATTTGCCTTATTTGGTCAGGGGTGGAAATGCTTAACAGTGGCATCAAAATCTGGGAAAATTCATTCATCAAATAAGTCGCGAAATGTCTGGTAATTTAGGATCTGATCTCAAAACCAATTTAATGCAACATTAAATGAGTATTTGACACTTTTATTTTTTTGATAAGTTACTAGAATCTGTTTAACCCTTCAATGACTTTGAGGCTCTAATTAGATTACCACTTGCAGAGAGTGCGACCTCGGACTGGTTCTATAGTTGCTCAAGACCTATACATTTATCATCGGGCAAACCTAATAAGGTGCGTCCATTTTAAAATTTGCATTACATTCAAGGCATGAGAAAGTGACGATACACCTGCTGTTCTTTGGTGTTGCAGTGATTTTCAAGTGAGACCAGCCGTCCGGGTAGACCTTCCCGATATTTTGGAGTTGGCTAATCAGATGCATCCATTCGATCGAAAACTTTTTGCAAAAGATGTAAAAAATTACATGAAACTGGGTTGCGAATCAGTACGTGAAAGCGGTTAAAGTAATTGAGTGAACTTGTTACTGTAGGATGGAACTCCATTATTCTGCTATGTGGCATTGTGCTTGCGTAAAATCGTGGGCGTGCTTTTTGCTCGAGCTGAAGTGGTATGCGTGTTGTAAGATTGTTAAATTAGGATTTGTTTAAATTATATAAACATTGAATTTTCGTTTTCCAAGCACATTGATTGGCTGAAAGCAAATTACGATTTAGAAGAATACATATATTTCGCACAACACGGAGGACATGAATTTGCTACTTTAATTCATTTTGTGCTCTCCTTGACTGTTCACTCCCGAGCTCGGTTTTTTTTGCGCGAGGTGATGCGGCAGTCTGGAAAGACATGCTTCTTCTACTTCATCTACCCACCATTCGCTATGGACACAGTAAGTCTTCACCGCTGCACTTGTTAAGCAATTAACCATCTGAATTTGGAAATGAATGCGGCTTTGAGGTCTTTAAGCAGCTCGATCTGCTATCCATACGTGTGGATTACTGGATAACTCCGACTCTCTCGATGCATACGCTTGATCGCGATCTTATTCATGAAAGGTGAAAGCAATTGATGAATTTAAGGCGCCACCCTTCCAAGCTTGGATCTGCCTTGCTTCTTAATTTTAGTAGCATTTAGTGCTGCACATTTGGTGTTTTGCGCCAAAACTTTTGGAGAAATCAACTGTTTTTTGGTAGTAACGATAACCCTTTGGTAAACTATTCACATCCTGCACCAAACAGTTCAACTAGCTGTTGGAAGTTCTGATCATCGCCTCGATTTACAGATTCGTAAAAAATGTTGAAGTCATTCAACTTCATAGTCATTGTTTACCATGTAAAATCACGAAATTTATAGCCTAATAGTAAACGAACCGGATAAGACTTTACATAGAATCGGACACTGAATGAGGCTGACGTGATTAAGTGATGGGAGAGTCCATAATGCAATACCGATGCTTTCTCTAGAAGCTGAAGATGAACACACCACTTTCATGTTTGGGGGATTTTTACGCGGTGCAGCCGCGGCGTCAAATAGTGTATCCTTCGGAGTTAGTGAAGGGAGAGAAAGGTCCACAGAATCGCATTCTTAGCTGCCCTCTCGATGATCCACCGCCAGCTGTCTATCATATTTCGCGAAATCTTATCATGGAGCCCAAGATTGTGCTTAATACGCGCATTGTCGTCGTTGGTGCCTCATCTACTAGTCTAGCCTTCCTAGAGCGTCTGACTTTCGCGTGAGTCAATGCTTCATTTAACTACCGACTTCGTGCTGTAATGGACACGATTATATTTAGTTGGACCTAAAATTAACACCAATGCACATGGGAGAGCTGCTGATCAACACCGCGACACCAGTAAACTTAATACATGTTCAACTCTTCAACTCATAGCTTGTTACTGTAGGTTAGTAGTCATCCTATCTTTTTAGATCTCACATTCGTTTCAATAACATCGTTTTGCTATCTCCTCATGGTATTCCTGGGGATACCGAAGCTTCAGAGAACCATCGCGTTCCCCTCTTCTATCCAGCACGGTAAGATATCAATGTAGAGATTATCTAGGCTTAGCTCATGCCAAAATAAAAGAAATCAGGCCTTCTGCCTAAATTTATTTAACCGTTGTACTTGTTTTGTTAAGACGTCCAACACTCTAAGGCATTTCGAAACATCCAAGTGGTTATTTTTCTCCTCAAATCGTATGTCTAAAACATTCTTTGCAGTTACATGCAAGATCGGCGGCGTCTGGGTCAGATTTCATTGCATACCCTAGTGAATATTATCTTGGGTACACTCACGGCAATCGACAGGCGAGTTCGTTTTCGCCAACTCATCCAGTGTCTGAGCAAAGACGCTAATTCAGTCCACCTTTTCACAGAAATCGGAAAGCCATCATGATTGATGGATCCCGTGAGATGCCTTACGACTTTCTCATTTTGTCGCCTGGAATGCAATATCATCCACCAACTCCAGTTGGAACCGATCCAAAATTCGTTGCTGAGAAGCATTGCAAGAATCTGTGCGACCCTAGTAAGTTGTCTACTACGACCATTGCCAGTGAATAGTAGCGGCTGGTCGAAGGAGAACGTTATTTTAAACAAATTCGACTACTTTGCTCCACTTTATCCCCTAGTTATGAATTATACCAAAAATAAGCCCAAGAATCTTTTCCTCTTGAATGACGAGCACAGTACAGTCGAAGCTATTGAGTACGTGGAGAAGAATCTCATGCCGGATACGTCTAACGAGAGGCATTTGTCTCGAAAACAAAGCCTTCAGACAGATATGCTTTTGGAGGATCCATGTTCGGAGAAGAAGCAGAAGCACAGTCCCGAAGAGGGTCCCATAATCATTTTTGGTGATTGTTTGGACGCCTATGCTTGTGTTCATGGGCTTCTCCACATGGGAGTCCCTAGCATCCGCATCATTATGATGCATCCTTTCAAGAAAAACGATGTGCGCTGAAGACCAGGCCAGCGTTTCTCGTGTTTATACCCCGTTGTTATTACCGTAAATTAAATGTAACATTTAGTTAGGTGAAGTTTAACAAAGCGGCGGCACGTAGTCTGTCACCAAAATTCGGCTTGAAACCCTCGTCAAATGCACTTATTTTAGAAGGTGCAGCGTTGGTTTAAGAATGATATTAAATACGCCGAATTTGAGGATATACAAAATCTATTTAAGGAGAGCATATTCATGCACCAATAGTACTTTGTTAGCTTTATTTTGAAGACAAACGACATTGATGAGCAGTTGAAGACTAAGACGAAACCCCAGTGCCATTCGTTGACATCTGCTTTTGACGATTATACGGTGGAAGCTGCTGTTCATGAGGAAATGGAAAACTCTGGTGTCCGCATATTCAAGCGTTGTGCCTTCCTGCATTGGAATGATGATCCAACTGCCGTCTATGTGAAAGAAATTGAAGATGTCACCTTCATTATTCAGGGCCTAGAAAAACGCATTCGATGTGTTGTAAGATAACTTGATGATTGGTTCCATTTTCTACGGCAATTTTAAATTGGCTGCTTTAATTTTGTGGTATTGTTTCCTTTCAGTCATTTGAAGTTGTTTAAAAACGAAATTTTATTTTAGGCCTTCTTTTCATTTGTCGACAGGAAAATCGACTACACTTTCTTTAAAGGTAAAGCATCTCAAACTGCCTTCGTATTAAAACACCAACGAGATGTAAAAACCGACCAGTGAGGAGCTAATTGATTGTAGATTCGCGATTTCTTGTGAAGAATTGCGGCTATGAGTGTAAATACAATACTCAGTGTTTTGTATTTTACATTAGACTGTGATAATTCGCTGCGTATCAAGTGCTTAATGGGTGAATAGGACACAGTTTCAGTCTCATTTCACTAGCTCTGTTTGTGATCACTAAAATGAGTGTATATTAGCCACGATGGTGATGTGGCACGTCTACTCTGCCACGCAATCAGACCGGTATCGTTATTTTTTGCTTGCGTATCATAAAATCACTGTTAAACCTGTATCAAAAGGTGGCACAATAGTGAGTGTTTCATGGCATTTGAAGCTGTAATAAATGTAGATTAGTATTTTACTTGTCTGATGCCTATTATCACAACGAGTCTCTTCTCTATGTCTCCTGAATTTCAGCCGTCAATGATGCCTGTCTGGTTTTTGACAAACAATTGGTTATTGATGCTAACTTCCACACTAGTGACCCTTGCATCCGAGCAGCAGGACCGGCAACAAAATTCCATCGAATTTGCTACAATGACAAATACACTCATGCTCTCTTCAATAGTCTGGAAGTTGGTAAAAAGGTTGGTAATTGCTTTTACTTTACCTGCTTCGAGAAAACAATCAAACCTGCTTGACCTAGATAAAAAGGAGGTCGAACAGTCTATCTGCCCATTTATGCATGGTAGTCACATTTATTATTAGTATTTACGGCATGCTGCTTTTAACTACATTTTAGAACTTAATCCCAAACAGACACTCGCCGTCCACCCCAGGGACTGTTGCCTTTATCTTAAGCGTAACTTTCAGTGCCTCCATGGTGTCTTGTTGTAAAACCGCGCCTATTATCGACACGCAACATAGACTTGCATTTTGAAAGCGACATTTGACAAATTGACTCTAGGTTAAGATTCCACTTTGTATTACATCAGCTAGGAGACGCCTTCCTGAAAGAGTTTGATCCCAGTACTGAGATGCCTAAAACCCCGGCCAAAGACGAGCTCCATTTACTGCCTGAGTTCAAAATGCCCCGTATAGCATACGCCGTGCTCCCCGGGGGTTACACATTCCTCAAGATCTGGGAACCTGGTTACAAAAAGAACACTCTTCTTAGAATGCGAGAACTAGACTCCGTGCGTCTACATTCTGATTGTTCACGAAGGCAATAAAAGCAGTGACGGCATTCAGTTAAGTCAATGGCAGATCTAGATTTAAGCTATTAACCCAGTTGAGTTATAAGAAATAAGCAAAACCGAGTGAATAGATTTAAGAATTGAACTGAACGATAGTTTATTTGGTGAATACAAAAATCGTACGGATGCATCTCAGGAGAATAACATCGACTTAGAGGAATGTACTGTTTTTAGGGAAGATCACTTGTTACCGGAATGGCAGAAGGAGAGACCGGCTATTTTCGCATACAAATAAACGAAATCAACCAAATCTCCCACATAGTTTGTCTATCGAAACGGGCAAGATTTCATCATTGTTGTCATTTAGAATGTCTAACTTTCAACATCATTGAAGTTTATTTTCTGTAAAATAGACCCTTCCAATATCAAACTACGTGAGCCTTTATTCAACACACGAGAGAGCAGTAAACAACCTGGTAGCGCGGTATGACGAGGGACTAATCACTGACTTCTATGCGTAAGTGATCCTCCTCCACACTTTCTGATGCGAACACTCGATCTGTTCGGCGTCCAAAAGATTTGATCGAGAAGTGTGATTCTTCTAAAGAACAAAAATCTACCCCGTAGGTTCTTCGAAGAGCCATGGGCAATGACTCTATTTCATGACCGCTTTGAAGAACTTAGAGAAGAAATACACGAGCTCGGCTGCAACGCTAGGGTAGGCAGATTTCATTGCATTTGAGTCGGTAATAAAACACGCGATTTGAATATTCTCTTTTGTTGAGGAGACGGAAGCGGCACCTCTTATCGACTTCATTCGGTCACTCCAAGAGCCCTGCAAGAAGGTGAGTTCATGCACCAAAAGTCGGACTATATCTCTTCCCAAATGCCAGCCAGCAACTAGAATTTTAGTAATTTAAGAGCCAAATTAATATGCCCTCCCATCAAAAGATAGTTTTACTCCTAAAACCAAGCAACCTTGGGTGACGGTACTAAAACATTTTGATTCAACTTATTACAGCTTCTAATCATTAAGACTATATGTAAGATACCACAATATTTCTTGAACTTGTGACAGATGTCAAGAGAAGCATTTGAAAGGATTCATTACGAGCACCTATCAAAAGGCCATAAATATGAAGTGGAGAAGAAAACCATCAACTTCGTCACCAATAATTACGACCTTTTACCAATGTATGCAAAACCGGATATGGTTAAAAAAGTTCGTTAGAAGATCTTACTTTCGACAAGGTGACAGCACGGATGTACACATGATAAATATACTACATCGTTTTGAAAATGCTTTCGGTTGCACTAATAAAGTAGCATTGTCGCACGATACCTCCAGCATTTTTTTATTAAAAAAATAGATTTAGGAAACTGAAAGGATAGTTATTTAGTAGCGTTGAAATGCGCAATTGCAGTGCTCAAAAGTGGGTGGAAAAATGCACTTAGTATTGTATCACAATAGCTTTAGCCCATTTTTAGGTATTTGTCCAGAGGTCCGGTATTTGAGGCAGAATGGTTTGAGTGGACGACTCGTTTTTTTCTAGTACGGGGTGATTTTGAGGTACTTGGTTGTGGCGAAGAAAACGTATCTTTGACAGCATCCAACACGGTCTGCCGATTCAAGCAAATGTCCAGGTGTTCATTCATCTAAACAAATGATACACCGTTAGAACATCACAGCTCAGGTAATTTAGTAAAAAATTACTTCAATAAAGTATTGCAAAAAATCCATTTTATGGCTGCTAAATGACAAAGTATCTCAAATGGCACACTTTGTGCATGAACATGAGCTTTTTATATAGAGATGGCCTAATCGGCAATAGCTTACCTCTTCGAGATCTTTTAGCCGTACTTCTTTAAAACAAGCAGGGCAAGTTGTGAGGGTGAACCCTTGGGATTCTGCAGCAAGTGATTCTTGTTCGCTAACAAGCGGCAGAGACCATTGTACAAAGGAGCCCTTGGGAACCTTCTGTAGACATTTAGAAGACACAGAGCAAATAAATATTTTCTTCATCCAGGACCCACTCCCTGGGGTTGATGAAGAATCGACGGTGGTATCATGCTCAAGTGGGTTAATCAACTTCATTTAAAAGCGTCAAATTGCTTCAGTAGTCTATTAAAGACTGTTCACTTCGTCTCGTTTCGAGAACCCGAGATTACTAATCCGATGAGATAAAAACGTTCACCCATGTCACTGCTTTCCTTTCAAGGAAGAGATTCTGACATTCAAATTAAGCACAATGCAAACGGTTAGAGCCGTGAACAGTTGACAAAATATCAGGTCAATTAAACTAACAGAAATAACTTCTTAATCTCTAAAGAGGACGACAAAAACCCACAGCTTACTCCAAAGTCTGCGGTACTGACAATAAGTGCCGAAAAAATATTCAAATTATCCGCTTAGTAATGCCCATCATCAGCGTGCTGGCAACCATAACATCCCCTATAGAAAAGTCAAACTCATCACCTGAATCACTAAGCAGTAATTGTAAAAGGCAGTGGATGTTAACGAAATACAACCGTTACTCATTCTTGCAATGTACAACAATCTTTGCCATTGACCCACATAAAAACGCATGCTTAAAGAAAGCTTAATGCCTGCAATTCACAACACCTCTACTCTGAATCAGGACTTTGTTCAAAATCACTTAACCTACAAGCTTCCGAACTCTCAACTTGACACCAGCTCCCTTCTCACCATTTTGAGTAGTGATATGCACTGAATTACATTGGCCAGACCCAGCAGAACGTGTTGCAAATTTCCTTTTAAAGATGGCGGAGGAGACAACATAGCTAAAGCAAATGTCGAATCTGCAGAGGCGCCACAAACACGGAAACCACGTTGAAACCCGACGAATTATATGTGGAAATCTGCGGCATATTTCAAACAGCGTGAACATTAGCATCAAATCATATACGACAACATAGAGATAGTAAGAACTATCAATTCACATTTTTCCAGATAAGCTGATACACTTACTACCCTATAAGAGGCATCTGACGACAACAAACACGAGTGCATCTATGTCGCAAAAGCGATAGTCGGGAAAATTTAGCCCCTTGTGCTGCTTACGTTTATGCCTACCACAGCAAATCGCAACCCCACTAGTTACATAAGCTACGAGGGAGAAGCAGACAAAACATTGGAGGCAGACTGTTATCCAGATGAGTTACAAGTAGCGCATTAAGTGATACCGTTAAATTCAATAGTATTTGTCTAAGTAAATGTCTCAATAAATGTTGAATCGATTCTGATAAGATACACTATGTTGTAGCAATGAAACGACATAAAGTACAGCTTATCAGTGATCACTCATAGCAAACTCACGGCTGATGTGATCGAAGACACGTCATCATCAGGCTCCATGACTTCATCGCCTCGAAATCCCCTGTTAAAGGCGGCCTCAAGAGTTTCTTGTCGAAACTGCTGACACATTGCAGAGGGAACTAGATTTGAAACCCGAACGCCTATCGCATAAAGAATTGTATGCACGAAAGTCGAAATGATACGGAAATGGGGCAACAAATGGCTATTTGCAAGGCGAATCTGCGAACAAGCAGGAATGCATAAATCCCTTGGCTGCAGTTCTTGAAGACATCAAGAGCTAAATCGATCGAGTATGGATAAGATTACCCATCAATCGAAGAGTAAGGGCTTTCGAATTCTCCGTCAACTCCGCTTTCATCTCGTCCTTGAGGATCTCTGAAGCGCACTGAGAGATGATCTCAGTCACGCAGGTGTAGTCGGGTAATGTTTGAGATCTTGATCGAACTTCAAAGGTGCTTAACTTAAACTTCATAGTCACCGTTTTACCCTTTAAATAAAAGTGGCATAAGGGGAGTGAGTTCAGCAAAAAAGCTCTTCGGAGCAAAAAATTAAACGTATATGAAGTTGCGAAGATTTGAAGCCTAGCATAACTCATAGGATCAGAAAAGTAGTGCTATATTCCCGAAGCTAGAAATGCTCGAATTCCACAGGAAAGATTGTTCATTCGAAATGCTACATTTTGTGTTTTTGGAAGCCTTTGATAGGTCGCCATAGAAAAGCTAACAAACAAAACTTAGTTCCTCATCAAGCCACATTTGGTTATCAATTCATTCATGTGATTTAATGGCCATTTAGCGAACAGACAATAATGGCAGACTTGCAAAGAGCCGGCTGCACTTTCAACGTTAATACCACCCATAAGGTGCTCAAGGTTCACGAATATTTCACAAAAGCTTGCGAATACGCTCTTAGACCTGAAAGTAAAAGTCTAATGACCTTTACGAGGTAGTCAGGCCAAGGGGACCAAATTAATGTGTGTGCAATTCAGCATTTAGGAAGTGGCCGTGGATAACCTTTTGATAAAGTATTTCTTGCTACAAACTCAGGCATAAGCAACTCGATGGCGACCTATGCCCAACACATAATAAAGCACCTTTAGAGCGTCTAGAAGACTGCAAAGTCAAAGCAATTGGACAAGACGCCCAAAGCCAGCGATTGTTATTTTTACTGGACTCTGAGGAATATCGTGCAAATCAAACTAAGCATAAGAGGATTCGTGCTTAGAAATACTTCTTAAGCGTAAGAAGCTTACCTGAACATGCGCTTCCTTCATATCATTAACCAGAGATAAGCACAGTTGCCTACATTTGACTTGAAGAATTTCTGGCTCCGAGCAATCGCGGAAAGTTCTGAAACAATTTGAAGAAATCAAGATGCCGGAAAACCGCAAATACCAACTCACAAATTTGAGAATATGAATGAAGTAAGCGATGAAGTAAATTAGTACCAATATTTCAGTCCATTACTAAGTACCAATTTCCAAATTTATCTAAGCAGGTTGTGCTCTAGTGCTAAAAATATAATTTCGGTAGAATTAGAGTGAAGATAGATAGGTTGGGGAGATAAGCCACAAAATGCTAGTTGATTATCATTATAAAATACAACACAGTACAATGCAAAGTTAACACCACACAAAACTGATAATCACTTTAAAATAGTGAGGCATGTTAGGTTTGCAAAAATGAAAAGGTAAATTGAAAACAGATCCATGGTCAGTATGCATAGAAAATACAAACATGAAAAGGTGAAAAAAATTAGCACCAATTTGAGAACGAAAAAGGTTTGCAAACGTGAAGTGCGTCCGGTAACAAACTTAGAATTTTGAATATAACCAATAGCTGACTTTGGGAATAGCTTAGGCA